GCAACTTCCGGAGTATTTGGGGGAAAAATTTAGGCTTTACCTTATGGCATGCTTTGACATCGGGAACGCCTAGCAATGACATGGGTATGTCAACAGGCATACGCAAGAATGCTTCTCGCTTCTCCCCACGCAGGATCTGTCGGGGGTCCAAAATGCCGCCCATGCAGGGCAGCGACATGCGCGTAGGATCTAACGTCTTAGCCTGAGAGGCGAGGCCGTCTAAATCCCCTACAGAACGATTGTCATATTGCAAACTACGAATTCTGGATAGTAATTCAGCAAGCTTAGCAACACCTCTACAACCTAGGTCAGGCTTTGGTTGGCGGCAGAAAGCTAAGACTTCATTAAATAAATTAGTTGCATAAGCCTGATGCACAGAGGACAAGGGGGTGTCCCTACCTCTCTGTATGGCTGCCGACACAGCTTCGGCTGACGAAGGGCTGCCACACTCAAAGAAGTTGAACAAACACCACAACTGCTGCGTCCACACTAGTGCCTGTGCTCGGCCTCGTCTACGCTGCCGCAACCGGCCTGAACGTGCAGGTTGCGTCAAGCCTGCAATCCAGTGCCATGGCAGGATAGACGGGAAAAGTTTCTTGCACTCCGCCGCCTGCGGGGCGGATGAATCTGCCCTTATCCTCGAACTAACGGATCGGTACTCTCGCCAGAACCTTCCAAAGGCACCGGTTGAAGCATCGATCAGCTCAAGGAGTCGAAAACTGGTGGCTCTCAGGGGTTGGGCTGTCCTTTCGAACTGCCCTTGGCTCCTTTCTGCTTTCCTTTGCCCGGCTTGTCTTCTGGCTGCTCTTCCTCCTCCGCTGGCTGCCCGCTGTCGAAAAAACGAGTCTNNTCTTTTCCAAGTCCTCCAGAGCTTTGACGTAAGCCGCGACAACTTCGACCTCTTGAGTCTCGCCGCCCCACCGCCTTCTCTGAAACGGGTCCTCCACGTGCGTGAGAAGCCAGGCTAAGTCCCACCTTCCGTTGTCCAAACTGCACTGGTGCACAGCTCGGAGGCTCAGAACTGTTTGAAGAGCTGCTTCTTCGAACCGGTTCTTCAACATCAGGCGCAGGATCTCGTGTAGCAGGACATGGACTCTCTGCAGTGTTCGCTGCTTGCCCCAGTAGATTTTGCGAGTGTAATCCACCAAGCGATAGGGGATGTCGTCTCCTCCCCCCAGCTGCTCTTCCACCTCCTTCAGGTAGCGCCGCACATGCTTGAGAGGACGTTTGAACATGCGGCGCTTCGACTCGTGGTACTGCCGTAAGGCCTTGGCAGCCCCCTTGTCTTTGCCCGAACGTCTCTCCCGAGTCCCGGAGCTTGAGCTCAGAGTCGAGGCAGAGCTGGAGGGACTCCTTCTGCGTGAAGTTTTCTTTGACTTCAAAGTTTCCAACATCTGCAGTGTAAGCAGAGTTCTCAAAGGATCCTCTGTCGAACCTGCTGCTGCGGAGCCAGCAGCCTGCAGAGCCACGTTCAAGTCCTGGTGGTTCTCTTCCTTCTTGCGGCGGCTTCCTTTCGAAAGCAACGGGTAACGACTTCGGTCCTTCTTGCCCTCCACCAGTGTTGAAGCAAGGCCTGCGTTTCCTCTGCCGGTAGAAGAATCGCGAAGCTTCTTTTGCGCTTTCACTAAAACGTTCAGCGGGTCCTCGTCTCCTGAGCCGGAGCTGCCACTTGAAGACTCCTCCTCGAAGTCGAGCAGGGGTTGCTGCGGTGACTTGGCGGGGACTCGAACTGCTGCAGGCGTAGGGTTGTCTACGTCCTCGGAGGCTGTAGCAAAGACGTGCTCTTCGCTGGACTGTGCCGGGCAACTGCTGAGGAACGAACTTGCGCACTCCACCACCTTGGATGCTTTCATTTCGAGCGCTAAGTGATGTTCGGGGCACGCCGAGAGGAGTTGCCTTGCACTGCCAGCCACCAGAATGAATTGTCGCTTGCCGACATCGAAGCCGATGTAAGCAGTACAGTGTTGGCGTTCGTCTTCTGTCACTCTGATGGCTATCTTGAGGGCACCACCCGCACCTCGCTCGACTATAACTCCCTGTCGCCATTCAGGCTCCAGCTGGTCATCAGCCAGCCGAAGATATCCTGTGTCACCCACTTTCATCGTTCACAAAGGGCCATGGCGGATCATCAAAACATACCTCCCCCCCTTGAGAGCTCACACAGCCACATCGCATCGGACATGGCTTCTCA